TCTGGTGTTCATTGAGGTTTGGGGTTGGGCATTTTTCTCAAAGTAACTACTTAGCTCTTTCCTCAAGTTATGTAAGGTTTGCATGTTGTATAATGCTGATTCATTCAAATGCCACATTCCCTCTTCACCTTGTGCTGTGTGAGTCAGTAGTACACTCTAGCTAATTGTCATATCATTCAGTGCCTTGCAAAAGTATTCACCCCCATTGAAATTTTTCGTGTTTTGTTGCCTCACAACCTGGAATTAACATGGATTGTTTGAGGATTTGCTTCATTGTCCTGTTGGAAGGTGAACCTCCGTCCTAGCCTCAAATCACGCACAGAGTGGTACAGGTTTTTCTCAAGAATATCCCTGTATTTAGCACCATTCATCTTTCCCTCAACTCTGACCAGTTTCCCAGTCCCTGCTGCTGAAAAACATCCCCACAGCATAATGCTGCCATCACTATGTTTCACTGTGGGGATGGTGTTCTTTGGGTGATGTGATAGCGTTTTCTTTGATGGCCAAAAAGTTCAATTTTAGTCTCATCAGACCAGAGCACCTTTATTCATACATTTTGGGATTCTCCCACATGCCTTTTCACAAACTCAAAACGTGCCATTTTGTTTTTTGCTGAAAGTAATAGCTTTCTTCTGGCCACTGTGCCATAAAGCCCAACTCTATGGAGCGTACGGCTTATTGTCGTCCTATGTACAGATACTCCAGTCTCTGCTGTGGAACTCTGCAGCTCCTCCAGGGTTACCTTAGGTCTCTGTGCTGCCTCTCTGATTAATGCCCTCCTAGCCCGGTCCGTGAGTTTGGGTGGTCGGCCGTCTTTCCATTTGGTTATGATAGATAGCTCCTGGGGATCATCAAAGATTTGGATATTTTTTTATAACCTAACCCTGACTTTTACTTCTCAACAACATTGCCCCTTACTTGTTTGGAGAGTTCCTTGGTCTTAATGGCAGTGTTTGGTTAGTGGTGTCTCTTGCTTAGGTGTTGCAGCCTCTGGGGCCTTTCAAAAAAGGTGTGTATATGTAATGACAGATCATGTGATACTTGCACACAGGTGGACATCATTTCACTAATTATGTGACTTCTGAAGGTAATTGGTTGCACCAGAGCTTTTTATGGGCTTCATGGCAAAGGGGGTGAATACATACGCACATGCAAATTTTCTGTTTTCTATTTCTAAAAAATAGTTTTATGTATATATTTTTCTCATTTCACTTCACCAACTTAGACTATTGTGTTCTGATCCATCACATAAAATTCAAATTAATAAAACATTGAACTTAAGGCTGTAATGTAACAAAATAGGTAAAAAGCCAAGGGGGTGAATACTTTTGCAAGGCACTGTATATGGATTTGTGTGGATCTTAACTGAGGACATCCATAAGGCGCATCTTCCCTATACCATTCTGCACATGGTCTGGGTTCTAACTGACTTATACATTGATGCAACTATTGGATTTAGACTTAGCTCAGTGCCATTATTGTGTGACTATGACACAGATCAGGATTCAGACTCCGGTCAGTGCCAGCATTGATACATCACTGCTTATAACATAGACCACGGCTGGCATCAAAATCTATGAAAGTATGATGAGTGGAGGAGCAAATAGCCACAGGTAACCTTATGGCAGACAAGACTGGCAGGTATGACATAGTTTACTTGCCATCACACAAGATGAATGTAACAGCTGAATAAATCGATTGCAGGCCTATTGCAGCTGCTATCAGAGTATTGCCTGGTTCACAGTATTAATGTCACTAACCAAGTGATCACGCTTTTTGCAAATTGCAAAAATTGTTATGGAGTTTGGAATGTCCTTGTGAACTGATATAAAAATTTGCATTTTCACTCTTACTTCTATATGTCATCAATGGTCTATTGAGCACCATGTAGGAAACTAAAATACCTTGCCATAAGGCTCAATTAATTCTTCTCTGTGCAATGTATGACCTAATCAAATGAGGTGCACCTCAGTGTAGTAAATAGCTTTTATGTAGCATGATATTTTTGACTTCCTAATCATCTGAGACATAATCGGCTAACTGCTGGGTTTGACATATTGATTGATTACATGGAGATTCTTCAGGATTTTAGAGGAATGAAGTATGTTATATTTAGCTCATGCAATACATCCAGTGCTTCAGTGATTGAATTAAATATTAAAGAAAAACGCTGGTTCATTTGTCTGAGATCTCTGACTTGGCTTATTTGTTATATGCATATATCATGCTCAGGACAGTATTTCTCATTAGACAGAGTAGGCACCTGTCCTGTAGGGGATGCTTATTCACAGCTCATATAATGTGCCTTTTTGAAGCTCAGGTGGGCTGGTGAGAGGTGAGGAGCCTTGGCCAGTGTCCATTGTAGTCTAGTCACCTTCCTATGTAATTACAGAGGGTGTAAAACACTGTTGTGTTCCAGCTTCTCAGGTGTACATGTGTAAGGTTAGACAGGAAGTGGAAGGGACCATTTCCCATCTGTCTATTAACAGCCTCTCACACAGGAAATGCCTTGCAGGAGGACAGTGGCGTCTCCAGCATTCATATTTAGGGGGGGCACATGGGGGGCCGGGGACAGAAGTAGTGGGGCAATTACAAAACGTGTGTGTGTGTACACATACACACGTGGAGAACATTTAAAAGTTAACAAAATCCAGATTTCCAGCACCTTGATAAATATGCTTAAGTCTGCTTTAGAGATGCAATTGTAACAATATCTCATGATGCCAGAATTGTTACAAAACTAGTTTAAAAAAAATAAATATATTTTTAAAAATAATTTACAACATGCAATTTGAAGGGAATTTAAATTAACACTTCTATATAAATATTTCACATACATAGAAAATGGTCACTTAACAGTGTATTCTCTACGCTACAGTTTAAGCATTTTAAAGTGACACAAAGTTGTATTTTGAAATGCTAATTCAAATGAATTTTTACTGTAAGAAGAGCAGATTTAGCTCCACTTCCATGAACAATTAAAAATGGTTGGCACTAAAGTTTGTGCCCTGACCTATAGTTGGTGAATACTATACCAACACAAACTAAAATTACTTGTTTCATTCTCTTGCTCACAATATGGAATCCTGGGTACATGCATATCATTTACTCAAAAGCTGCAATTAAAGTTCATGTTACTTACAGTAGTAGTGCCACTGTCTGCTCCGCTCACTCGGAAGTCCCTCTGCAAATTGCACTCTCAGGTAGGTAAGGTTTCACACTTTATGTGGGGCCGCACTGCAAACTGTTTGCAATCTCTGGTAAGTAAGGTGACACTGTCACAACACTGTCTGCAATCTCAGGAGTAAGTGCCACTGTCATACCACTCACTGTCTGCAATCAGGAGTAAGTGCCACTGTCATACCACTCACTGTCTGCAATCAGGAGTAAGTAACCTTTGTCACACACACACCACTCACTGTAATCAGTGTAATTAATTCACTTTTCTCAGAACCTAGATGTGGCAGAGGCAGCGGGCCACAATACCTGCTCCTCTCTGCTTGATCTGTTCTGCCTCCTTTGCTCTTGCTCCTCTATGCTTGCTCTGCTCCTCTTTGCTTGCTCTGCCTCCTCTCTGCATGCTGTGCTTCTATTTGCATGGTCTGCTTTTACTCCTCTCTGCTTGCTCTGCTCCGCCACTCTCGCCTTGCTCTGCTTTTCTCTACTTACTCTGCTCCGCTCCTCTCTACTTGCTCTGCTCCTCTCTGCTCTTGTCCTCTCTACTTGCTCTGCGCTGCCTCTTCTCTGCTTGTTCTGCTCCTCTCTGTTTGCTCTGCTCCTGCACACATATTGCCTAATACATACAAACCCATACACACACACTGCCTAATACATCCATCCATCCATTTATACACACATATTGCCTGATGCATACATCTATACACACCTATTGCCTAATACATAGACCCATAAACGCACACTGCCTAATACACACTCACTGAATACTTACATCCATACACACACTGCCTAATACATCCATCTGCACACACATATTGCACAATACATATATTGCCTAATACATACACCCATACACGCACACTGCCTAATACATACATCCATACACACATACTGCCAAATACCAGACATCCCATGTCTCCCGGTAGTTCAGGGAGACTCTCGCATGTTGAATGCGGTTCCCTGACACCCGCAGATCATACATAATATCCCGGAAATCACACACACAATCAAATCTATAAAGTATGACTTCTGTGCATGTCAATATGTGTGTGTATCTGTGTGTGTTTCAGTGTGTGTATCTGAATGTATGTGCCAGTGTGCGTTTCAATGTGTGTATCTGTGTGTCAGTGTGTATGTGCCAGAGTGTGTGTATGTGCCAGTACGCATATCTGTGTGTGTTGGTGGAGGGGGGGGGAGTGAGCGCAAGCATGTCAGGGGGAGGTGGAGTGACCGCACATGTGCACGGGGGTGGCGGAGTAAATTGCGAAGCCACCTCCCTGAAATGCAATTTTGCATGTTGGGATACATTTTACATTAAATATATAATTTATAGCTGTGATAATAATATTTTCGTTCATTTGGTGGGATTTTATTTATAATATTGTGGGATTTAATTTATAGTAATGGGTTTACGTTAATTAATGTTACAGTGTATTATGAATATAATTGGTCGCATAGTCACTCGCGCACACTCTAACATACACTACTTACTGAAGTATACACACGTCACACACTCTCACTAACACACGTATTAAGTACATACACAATGTCACTGACACACTCACTAACACACACTATTATTAAGTATACACACAATGTCACACACTAACACATTATTATTACGTATACACACGTCACTGACACACACTATTAAGTATACACACAATGTGCCACAATCTCACTAACACACACTGTTAAGTATACACATACACACAATGTCTCACACTCTCACTAACACACACTATTCAGTATACACACACACACACACACAATGTCTCACACTCTCACTAACACACACTATTCAGTATACACACACACAATGTCACACACTCCCACTAACACTCACTATTATTAAGTATACACACAATGTGCCACAATCTCACTAACACACACTGTTAAGTATACACATAATGTCACTGACACTATTAAGTATACACACAATGTCTCACACTCTCACTAACACACACTATTCAGTATACACACACACAATGTCTCACACTCTCACTAACACACACTATTACTGAACTATATACACACAATGTCACTCACACCAGTTTAGTCACACTTTATACACACACAAACATACACAATATGATCAGCCCCCTTGGGCTCCATGTGGGCCATCCCTGTGCTAGGGCTGTGGAGGAGGATCCATTCAGTACTTACTGCTGGCTGGGCTCCCTCCATGTTACTGAGAGCCCAGCCCCTGAGCAGATGGATCCCCCTGTGTAAACACGCACAGACACTGGAGGGAGGAGGAAGCAGGAAGCAGGCTGTGCTCACTGTGCACCGCTCTCCTGCTCCCCCAGCAGAAACAAAGGGGAGACTTCCTGCAGGCTGGACAATGGTTCCTCCTCCCCTTCAGTGAGCACAGCCTGCTTCCCTCCTTCCTCCAGTGTCTCTCCATGTTTACAGGCTGGGGAATTCCCCTGCCTGCAGGATCCATCTGCTCAGGGGCTGGGCTCTCAGTAGCATGGAGGGAGCCCAGCGAGCAGTAAGTTCATTTCCAGTTGGGGGGGCACAAAGGGGGGCACAGCCTGATCTAGGGGGGGCCATGGCCCCCTCTGGCCCCCCCCTAGTGACGCCACTGCAGGAGGAGCAGGGACAGCACTGAGTGATGTACACTGTATAACAGCTCCTGCACTTCTACTATGAATCATAGGAGGGGGAGTACTTTGCAAATAGCAATTTAAACTCCACAGGCATGTAAATTCTTTTTACATCAACAATGTCTAATATTATCTTTAACCATGCATGCATTTACACAGTTACATACACCCATTGTAGTCACAGATTCAAACACAACACATTACAAGTAGAAATATACACATGCACTTGTCAAATGTCAATATATGTTGTTTTTTTATTTGTTTTTTTATTCAGTGGAAGTGTGACTAGGGCTGCATGGACAGAAATAAAAGTTACATAACTTCCAAATGGCAGATATTTGAGCAGTGAGACGACAGGGGTGTATACTGCTGCAAGTGTACACCAAAAATGATTCAATAAGCAAAAGTTGTCTTGATACCTATAGCACCACTTTAAGTTTAAAATCTTTATAGAAATACTGCAAGACGTGAATGCAACAATAATAAAAGAATAGTTACACAATATTGTTTAGTGTTGTACTGTTAAGCAGCAGCCCACAATCCTCTCTACAGTAGGGGCTATTGCCCACTTGCTGGCACTCCCCTGATTGTGGAGAATTGACACAGTAACTGCAAATTGTAGGAAAAAATAGCCAAAGTATAATAATTCTCTAAATCCTTTGCAGCTCTGCTATTTTGGCCAAATATGATTATATTATGATTTATTTCCTTTTGCAATATACCACATTTCCAAGTTAAAGCGACACTATAGTCACTTGAACAACTACAGCTTCATGTCTTAACACCTTAAAGGCAGTGTATACATCACTGCCTACTAACAGTCACTCAGATGGCCACTAGAGGTGCTTCCGGGGTTAATGCACTGATGTTCAGCTAATTAACGCTCTGCATGCAGGTGTGGAATATTCTTCAAAGAGAAGATGCTGATTAGTACAGCACAGCGTTTTGCCGCACACTTACAATAAACTCTCAATGCTTTCCTAACGATAAGCATTGGTTTGAGCGGGGACGAGGCCAACTGTGAGGAGACCCGCGCCTTTAACCCCTTAAGGACACATGACATGTGTGACATGTCATGATTCCCTTTTATTCCAGAAGTTTGGTCCTTAAGGGGTTAAAGGACCACTCTAGGCACCCAGACCACTTCAGCTTAATGAAGTGGTGTGGGTGCCAGGTCCAGCCAGGGTTAACCCATTTTTTCATAAACATAGCAGTTTCAGAGGTTAAGCCTTCCCCTATTTCCTCTAGCGGCTGTCTCATTGTAGAAATACTGCAAGACGTGAATGCAACAATAATAAAAGAATAGTTACACAATATTGTTTAGTGTTGTACTGTTAAGCAGCAGCCCACAATCCTCTCTACATCCGCGCGTGCGCATTCAGCAGACGGGGAGGAGGATCGGAGGAGGAGAGCTCCCCGCCCAGCGCTGGAAAAAGGTAAGTTTTTACCCCTTTCCCCTTTCCAGAGCCGGGCAGGAGGGGGACCCTGAGGGTGGGGGCACCCTCAGGGCACTATAGTGCCAGGAAATCGAGTATGTTTTCCTGGCACTATAGTGGTCCTTTAAGTAAATAACTATTCCAACCTTGCATTGCAAGAAGTTCTCTCTATGTTGAACTACTGTTCACATAGAGAGAACTTCTTGCAATGCAAGGTTGGAATAGTTATCCACAAATCCACTTTAATCTCTTCTTAATAACCTTTTTTATAGTTGGACCAATTTTTGTATTCATGAGTTAGAGCACTCTTATCTATTTCTATACTTTTACATTTTCAGTTATGCCATTGAGGGTGTTTATCACTGGAAGGTTTTTAATTGAGTTTGCATAAACCCCTTGATGTATTCTTTTAATACTTGTTATACTATATATATGCATGCAAAAAGTAACCTGATGCATATATAACATGTACTTTCATCTAGCAATTTGCTTAAAATCACGTTAATAGAAATATGAAACATAGTATTGCAATATTGAACTGTGAAACTGGATTTTTTTTGTTGCCTTTAGCTGTAAAAATAATTATTATCCAGGAAATAGAGTTTTACCTTGAACACAATGACATCAATAGAATGCAAAGTACTAGTGAGTCGGATCCTATTTTGAACAGTGAAGATTATTCAAAGAGCTTGTCACCTAAATAAATTATCAAGCAATTTGTGGATGTTTTGTACAAAACACAGTTCAGTGCCTACTTTCCTGAACCAAAAGAACTTACAATTTACATTCATTTTTATAGATAGTACTTGGTGTGTACAGCTATACAAAAAAGAAGTCCTGCGCTCAGACTCCCACTACTCTCCATCGCCCACATCAGCTCCAATACAGACAATAAAAACCAAAGAAAAAAGGTTTCTTGTGCATTATTCGAAATCCTTATGCATATTTAAATAAATGGAGGTTATTTTGTAACTCCAATGGCCATTAGATGTAAGCCTACCTGCCACGTCAAGGCAAACCTCTTAGCCGAGTCCCACACAACAATTCACCTTGCTTCCTTGAGCTATAGGCAAAGAAATTTCTCATGTAAACCGCTACATATTAACCCTTAATAGGAAACACATGGGATGGGTGGCAGCATTGTAACATGACTGTGTGATACAAAAGTAAATACAATTACATAAAAATAAGGGATATTAAAAAAAAATACCCCTCTCTATCTCATTAGAGATTTTTTTGCTGGGCCTCAGCAGGTAATGTCCTATGTTACACGCCATGCGGCTGTGTGAATCCCGGTCACGCTCCCACAAGGTGTCAATAGATCTCATGGGAGCAGGGCTGAATATTATAGAGTCACTTGGCAAAGTGAGGGAGAAGACTCATCACTCAGAAATGTATCATCATCATCACTAGGCACTGTGCTAGACTCATCATCAGGCTGACTTTGACAGTCACCACTCCAGGTAAGGAAGGCAAAGTAATTGTGGGCAATGTGGCATGCATGTGGCTATGGGCATAGGTGTGGGCATAATAAAATATGAGTAATGTGACATGTATGTGGGCATGATAAAATGTGGTAAATGTGATATATAAGCAATGTGGTGTGGATGTGGACATAATAAAATGGAGGCAAACTGAAAAATATATACATGTAGGTAATGTGGCATGTGGACATTATAATATAGCTTGTAATCCTATTTGTATTATATTAAAAGCACAATACAGTTTTAATGGCCACAAGAGAGAGGAAGTGACAAAATTGTCTTATTACTACTTACCATTTTTAAGGTTTTTCATTTGCACAATCATTCAGTGTCCCTTTGTCCCACCGTACTGACCTCTATGTAAAGCAGTTTGGTAATGTGGAGCTACTGTAACAATACGCAACCATGGAAGTTAATTGTAGGCTACAGATATAGGATGAGAGTTCCAAAATCGCCAGTCCCATGCCTGTCAACTAGAATGATAATCAATGGAAGAAATAATTAATTTGTGCATTACATTGCACAGCTGCTCAAGGGCCAGCACTCAGAGCCAGCCTTTGGGATATGCGAGCTGTGCAGCCGCGCTAGGTGCCATGGCAGTGGGGGGATTCATGCTGCCGACATAGCTCACACACTCCTAGGGTGACAGGTGTGAGAGGGTTCACAGAGCACTCCTATAAAGGATGTCCTGCCACCCTGGTGGAGGATATAATTATTCTCCACGAGGGACTATAAAAGAACATAACAAGGCAGCGGAAGGCAGGTGTGGCGAAAGTGACCTTGCCACTGGTTTTTGGAGGGGCCTGTTTGCCAGCCTCCTGCCCTGCGACTATGGCCCTGGGATGTATTGCCCTTCTAGGAACTGATTTGGGCATATTGTATTTTATTATGCTGCTGCTGCTGGCCCTTTAAGAACCATCTGGGGACATACTGTGGAGTTACTGGGTGGGTGGATGAATGAATGAAGCACATGGTGAGAACAATGGATGGCGGCCATTTTAACTCACAGACACTGTTTGGACTTTTCTACACGGTGCCATGTAGAAAGATACTGTGCAGTAGTTTTAAACTATACAACAGGGGACACATTATACAGTAATTATTTTTCATATAGCCTGTATATGTTCTGCGGAATCTGCATTAAACTGTATCTTCCAAACTACTGAACGGATCTGGGTGAATTTTGGATATGTGGTTCACCCAGATCCCCTGGTTCCGAGGCATGTTTTGGGGTCCCTGTGATATGTTTTATAATACTGTATTTCTCTGCCTGTGATAATTATATTACCCATTGTGTTCAGTAATCATATCACAGGCAGAGGGGAGGATTTTGTGTGGGAGTGTGTGTGTGTATTGTACGGATTGATTGGTTGTATTTCAAAACCCTGTGGGCAGTACTATGTTTGTGGATTGTGAATAAAAGAGGCTGTATGTGCCAGTACAGGCAGTTCTACTTCACCCTCAATCTGAGTCCTGTCTCTTATTGGGGGAATCTGCTACAAGGGATTGCTATGCTCTGCATATTCCCTTGCTATAATCACTGAGCTCTTGTAAGAGCTTGTTCCTGTCTT